CAGCGGTTAGGCCCTTCACGGTTGTAGAAGATTAGGTTGGGTCTGGGCAAGGAAGCGAGGCATGCGTTTTCCGGACTGCTCTACACGCGTAGCCATTTCCAAGTTCAGTCGATGAGCAATGGCTAGGTAACGCCGAGCAGAAGCACGTGGTGGCAATGGTGTGCACTGCCATGTTTGCTTGGGGCCAAGATGTTCATCCTATAAATTTGAGCGGATGCGACATTCAAGAGTCATTTGATACGCGCGTGGCCATGTTCAGCTGATTAAGGCGTGATCCAACGAGCATCCCATGTGGCAAGCTTTTCTGCAGACACTTTCGCCAGAATACAAGATCCCTGGCAGGGGGAGGATCTGGAATACAACTAAAAAAGCTTGATGAGGCTATCACGGCCAGGTTGGATGAACTATTGCTAGATGCGGGCAAAGGGCCATGGTTCCTCACGAGCGATGGGGCAACCAGTAAAGCTGAGGGCTTGCTCACTGTCGATTGCAGAAACGCTACCATTTTACACTGGTCAATGGGGAATGGCGAAAGCAGGACGCTGCATTTCTACAGCAACAGTTGAAAGCTCCGGACGTAGCTTCGCAGAAACCGTGCGCTTGTTTGCTTTGGAGAATTGTAGAGGCACTGAAGAGTTTCATTCTTGCTTTAGGCTCAGATTGTGCGAATTGCGCCCGGGAAGTTGGCAGGAATCAGCTACTCGCTCTGGGGCGAAGGTGTTTGTTCGGCTTCGAGCCGTTACGGCTTTGGGCCAACGAAGGCCATGCGCATTTTCAGGTTTCCTAAACATGCCCTGGTTTCTGGCTTTGTGCGTTTAGAGGGCTCCCAAAAACGCACAGGGGTCTAAAGGGGAAGGGTTTCGGCTTTGTGCGCTCAGAGGGCTCCCAAACACGCACAGGGATCCAAAGGGTAAGGGTTTCGGCTTTGAGACTAGGGTTTTTCGGGTTTGGGCAGTCCATGTGATTTTTGAGGTTTCCATATCAAGCTGAGGAGGGCATGTGCGTTCTCAAGGCTTTTAAAAACGCGGGGGTATGTTCTGAGCCTGCCAATATCGGCACTGGATGAGGGCGCTGGCTTGGATCGGGTTCTGGGCATTTTGGTAAGATCTCCAACACCAATCCTTGGTAGCGTCATGGCTGAAGACTGAGGCCAAGACACAGCAGCCGCCTGGCGCAAGGCATTCAAACTGCTCGCAGACGAGCTGCGAGCTTCTGGTCATCATCGCCTTGATTACGTGGCATGCGGCGAACATGTGGCCCAACTTCTCCATCAAGACATTGTTGTCCGTGCCATTTGGATCAAGGACTCTCCTCTTTTCAATTCTTGATGCGTTGACGTGAGGATCTTGGCCGAACACATTCCTTCTTGCCAGGAGTTCATGAACGTGTTCACAAGGCGCAGAAGGTGATTCTGAAAAGGAAGCGGGCCCGTGCTTATGTGGCTAAGGCCCAAAGACTGGCCTTGTCTTGTGGCAAGCTGCGTCCTGCGCAAGCTCAGAGCCTTGGTTCTGGATAAATGCAGTCATGTCACTTTCTGACCTTAAGCGATTCTCCCCATGCGACAAACGCACGTGTCACTTAGTGCCTATCCCTCAATCCAGACATGTGGGGCCTAGGGCCTCACTCGAAAGGTTGGCAGTGCAGACTTCTTTCAGGTACATGCTGCTTGGATGTGTGCTCGCCACGACGTCACCCAGTCCATTGCGGAGGAGGATCTTGTAGATCACGCGCGCAAGCAGACGGAGGCAGCGCTGCAGACCCGAAAGAGCAGCGTCAATGAGATCTCAACAAACGTGGTGAGGTTTACTGCACGCCTGTGCACAAGGCCGCGTTCGCTCTGGATCCCCGAACACGCCACTTTCTGAGTGACCCCGACGCAGATGAAACCCTTGGCTTCCCTTTGCTGGAAGCACGGCAGGCCCTGTTGTGAGGGATTGAGGGCTAAGGTGTAAGAGTTCTGGCTTTGTGCGTTTAGAGGGGTCCCAAAAGCGCACAGGAATCCAAAGGGTAAGTGTTTTGGCTTTGTGCGTTTAGAGGGCTCCCTAAAACGCGCTGAGGGATGACGGGCAAAGGTGTGAGGGCTATAACACCCTCAGGGGTTGAGAAGGCCGAAGGGTAAACGTTGGGCTTGTGCGTGCAGGGGGCTCCCAAAAAAGCACGGAGGGATGTAGGATCTATGTGTCAGGGATGTGGCTTCTGACATGGAGGGAATAAAGCTGTCTTGAGCTGCAAGGCAGCAGTGTGCGTGCTGAACAACGACTACATCCCCCGAAGTTTTTTACGTCGCAGGAACAAGTCGACCAAGCCAAGTGTGCGTGGCGCGATTATTTAGCAGGAACAGGGCCTTTCCAGAATGTCCCGTGTCCCAGCAAAGATGCCCTGGTCAAGGATGTGGTGGAGTGTTTTCAAACCGGCCAGCCATCCTGGCTGATACGAGACTTGGGGCTGCATTTTGCAACCCTTGTAGGCTCCCAGGGCATGTCAGAGCGATGCTGGGCAACCGATCCGCATTGGCCTTCTATACCCTGCCAAAAAAAGCTTAACATTGCTGCCAATTGGAGGCTTCTTTTCCCAGCGCTTAGTCCCAGGCCGCAAGTGAAAAAGCATCGACAGCATGAGTTTGGGATTCCAGCGCTTCTCGGGCGCCGTGCTGGCCCCTCAGAAGCCAGTCCGCCAAATCAACAGGGAGGTGCACTGTCATGTTCCTCGTCAACTTCCAGTTCTTCCTCTTCCAGTACTAATGTGCCTGAGATTCCGGAAAAGGACAAAGGGGATGGCCTAGGACGTGATGAGCTCGTGGATGCTATGGACGCCAGCAACGTATACCAATTAGTGCTTTCGGGGTATACAAGTTGTCAGTCACATACCCCCTCCCTCTAAAATGAGAAATCCTAGCTAACATTATGCAGGGCTCTCCCTCTACCCGTGCTAACAAAGGTAGGCGCATTCCTCATTCCTCGTGGCCCTATCAGGCTAATCCATCCGGCAACGACCAGCCAAAGGTGCTCAAGGAGGCGACAAAGCGCAGGATCAGAGAAGATCAACCCCGACCAGACGGAGGAGGAGCTGGCGGCCAGATTTGGGCGTGAGCCAACCCGTGTGAGCAAGCGAAAGCGGCTATTTCGCCCCGTAGACTGAGACTCTAGCCTTGGTTTCTTTCACTTGGGGTAAAGGTTCGAGCACTAGTGCCCTCCACAAGGCTAATGCAAGAGTTCAAGGCGGCCTAGTCTCGTCGATGCTCAGCACTTAGGTGCGGCAGGTGCCAACCAGGATAGCTTCTGGAGGGGTGGACTTTTGCGCTGCGCCGCGGCAATGTGCGCATTGTTGCTGATGGCATAGCTCCGAGAGACTTGGCAGGCTGCTCCGAAAAACGATGAGTTAAGTGCTAGCTCCCAGAGTTTGCAGCAAGCTGTCCAAAGATTCTGAAGTCGTCTTGGTGGCGCGGGAGAGGAGCTCAGTCAGGTTAGCAAACACCCATGCAGGGGGTATGTTAGGGGTAAATAAGGGGTGAGTTAGGGGCTTTATAAGGGGTATGTTAGGGGTATAAAAGGGGTAAGTCAAAGGGTGCATAAGGGGTCTGTTACAAGTATATAAGGGACATGTTAGGGACATATAAGGGGTATGTTAGGGGTAGGTAAGGGGTATGCTACGGGTATATGAGGGGTATACAAGGCGTATGGCTGGACTCTATGGGATCTCACACTCACACCTCATGCGTTTAGAGGCTGCCCAAAATGCATTGTATATATCCCCTATATCAACTTGTTAAACGCCTTTTATAGCCCCTGTACAAGCTTACATAACTCGCTTCTGCATGCACTTTTGGCAGCTCTCTAAACGCGCAAGTGTAGCTCAATCAGGGCGGAACCTGGTTCAAGGTTTTGGGTTTGGTCTTAGGGTTTGAGGGCCTAGGGTGTAGGGTTTAGGTTTCAAGGTGTAGGTCCTGGGGCTTAGCGCGCAAAATTCAAGGTTTAGGGTTTCCATCCTCATAGCATTTCAGATGTGGTTTGGTGCCCCGGCCCCGCAATCCCCAAAAACAGGCCAGGAACCCATATGACGGTTGATACCACAATCCCGCAGGATTTAGATCGTCAAAAGCATACGCCTCTCCTTAACCTTGGGGCTCCAAGTCTATAAACATTCCGATTCCATCCGTTACGCCACGACGTCTATACACAGGATTTATGTTTGGCTACTTAGAGCCCTAGCGCTGTGGGCAGGAAAGACCGGGAATCTTAAATATAAGTGATCAGGGCTTATGGACGCTTTTCAGGGCTTTGCGGCCAACGTGTTGCGTAGGTCGATCTTCTGAGCCTTATCCCTAAACCCTGAACCCTAAATCGCAAACCCTGAATCCCAAACCCTGACTCCTAAAGCCTAAATCCTAAACTCTAAATCCTAAACCCTAAATCCTAAGCGTAAATCTTAAACTCTACGTCCTAAACCCTAAAAATCCTAAACCTGAGCTCTTGGGAACTCTGAAAAAACGTGTCTGGCATTAGACTTACTTAACCGATAAAAGAACTTTAGCCTTTTGGGCTTCCTTTTGTGATCTCTAGAATAAAGATTCCAACTTTTCAAATTCCAAACCCTAAACCCTAAATCTCTATAATAAAGTTTGAAGTGTTTTAACCCTGGTTCTTGGGAAAGAGAGTAAACGACCCTTCAAGGTGGAGCCGTGCATTGCACATGGCCAGACAAATGGAGGCCTCGATTTGCTGGTTTAGGGCTCAAGGTTTAGGATGTTGGGTTTAGGGTTTAGAGCGTAGGGTTTAGGGTCAGATCACAATGCTAGGGATCTAAAGATCCCAACGTAGGTAATGTGTGTACACTCTTGGGCCCAAGATCAACATGGCTTAAAAACATGGACCCCCGCGAAAAATAGTGTGCACTAACACAATGGGAGCTCCTACGTTGAGGGCAGAGGGAATTGCTCAGTGCGCATGTGGGAGTGGAGGGCTCCGGTCCTTTCATGTGGAGTTTGACTCGAATCATAGGGTTCAGGGTTGAGGGGTTTGGGGGTTTGGGGGGGTTTGGGGTTGAGGGTTTGGGGCCTTTTCCACGTCAGTGGGTTTGCGGCTCCTGTATGGAGGGTCCTCCCAACTTGGGCTCAACAACGCGTTCAACCGACTGCACAATCCTCAAGACTGGTGATGCAGTTGGACGGCTCCGCGGCTCTTGCGTGTAGTGTCCTCACTTTTTGTTTGTATTCAGTTTTCTTACAGCTTTTCTTAATACTGTTGATATTAAGAATCCTGCATGACCTTAGTATACTATGGTACCATTATTCCGAAGGTTTCAGGTACTTAGGGTCATGCAGGTTTTTTAGTATCAACCGTATATTCGGCCCCTAAACCCTAAACCCTAAAACCTAAAACCCTAAACCACTAACCGCCAGTAAGTTCTTTGCTTTTGGACTCTGGACTGCTTTTGGAGTCCTCTTGGCGTGCTCTGGGAGTGGGGGTTTAGGGTTTTAGGGTTTCAGGGTTTCAGGGTTTTAGGGTTAGGGTTTTTAGGGTTAGGGTGTCAGGGTTTTAGGGTTAGGGTTTTAGGATTTAGGGTTTAGGGTTAGGGTTTTAGGGTTTAGGGTTTAGGGCTTAGGGCTTAGGGTTTAGGGTTAGGATTTAGGATTTAGGGTTATTGTAGGGTTTAGGGTTTAGGATTTAGCAAGGTTCAGGGTTTAGGGACCTGGAATGCCTGGTCTGAAGGTACTGTTGCAGTGTGATTGTAGTGCTGCTTCATTGCTCTTGGCTCTTGGAGTGTTTTGGTTCTTGGGCTACTTGTGCAGCTCTTAGAGGTCTTAGCGGGTTCTTGGAGAGCTCTTGCAGGTCTTACACTCTTGCACTGCATGGCGTTTACGCGGCAAAAACCCACTACCATTACAAGAGCTTCCTCATGCAGGTGTAATTTATCTCCATCGTGATACAAGCTTTCCTGCTGGTATGGCTTGATAAGAATTTTCATTTTCGAAGTCAGGGACTCAGAAGTTTCAGAGGTTGCCTAAGATTGGTAGGAGGGAAGCTCAGGTCTGCTATGTTTGGAAGTGAGGTCGTAAAGTTCCAATGTTCAAGAGAAACCTCATTTCAGGCTAGTAGCAATACGTACGCGGCTTTAAAGATGTAAGACAGTTATGCGAAAGCCATGCCCCATCCCAAAAGCGATAGCCATCATGTTATCTCCGCCCCAGAGCCTGCGAACTAAGCTCATAGCAACATCTCAGGAGTCCTTAATTAAGACCCTTACGAAGAATTATTAAGCACGATACATTCTCAGAATTGGCCACAAACTTGGAGCCACACTGTCACGCTGAAAGATCCTCTTGATACCCACGCGACGCCTAGCAGCGTAGTAGTAGTGGTGGTAGTAGTAGTAGTAGTAGGAGTAGGAGTAGGAGTAGGAGAAGGAGGCAGTGGCGGCGGTAACCGCAGCAGCCGCGGCAGGAGCTTCAGAAGCAAGCAGAGCAGCCTCAGCAGCACCAACCCTTAGCGTTGAGAACGCAGTGTCACTCAAGAATTGCGCAACAACTGCAACAGCACGCAGCCCGAATCATCAACTAGTTGCTCTTTGCACTATCTATCCCAATCCAGTTGCTCTTCGCACGCGGGACTGAAGCGAGCACACGACAAGAGGTAATAGTGGTGCTGCGGCAAGCTACCACCATGCATGGACCAAAAAGGTTCATGATGGCTACGATCGAAGAATCGCACTTTGGGAGCCGAATTGCTGGCTTGGGAAGTGGCAGCAGTTGCACCTCCAAAAGACGCCCTAGAAGAGTTCGATCTCATCGTCGATGTCGTCGTCCACAGCCGAAGCGGCCGTGTCAGCACTACAGTAGCAGTTGTGGTAGTACTGGTAGCAGCCGTAGTAGCAGAACCAGCAGAACCAGCAGCACCAGCCGCAGCAAGATCAGCACTGGCATCAAGAACGTATTTCCCCAAAACTGCCGTTCGTACTACGGAGCTCGCCAAAAAACGACACCAACAACTTTTGGAAGCCGCCCATTTTGTGATCCTCCGAAGCCTGCAGGAAGCTTCCATACCACCCAACGTGGTAGCTTATGGTTCGGCTCTGAAGGCCACCCCTGCGATTGATCTCGGTTGGCTGTTAAGGAATTTAATTTACCATATTATGAGTATGATATAGGGTTTAGGGTGTAGGGTTTAGAGTTAGGGTTTAAGTTACAATAATACGGGCATACAGTAAGTAATGCGGTTTCCTTACTATGATAAAGAATTATAGGGGTATATAGGGATTTACAGCGTTTAGGGATTAGGGCTTAGGTTTTCCCAACATTCGGGGTACTTTTTGGGGGTCTCCATAATAAGGATGATCGCATTTTAGGGTCTATATTGGAGTCCCCTGTTTATGGAAACTGCCAGAAGCCCAAACCCGTGGGATTAGGGTACCCTGGTATACTGGAAGTCATGCAGGACTTCCTCCATCGAACGTAGCAGTTGATACCAGACACCCCGCATGATTCTGAGTACTTCACACCAGTATAATTATGGTCCTCTAGTATACTAACCCTAAACTCTAAGCCCTAAACCTTACACTCCTAAACCCTAAATCCAGAGACAAATCGGGGCCTATGTAACGGGCACAAACTATTTAATTGGAACATGAAATTTGGGGGTTTAGGTTTTAGGATGGGGGGTTTAAGTTTTAAGGCTTGGGATAAAGCTTTAGGGTGTATTTGGAAAACGTAGGAGCCAAAGTAACCTTCTTGGGCCGAACATGTGTATGTTGGAGATCTAAGGCTTAGACAAGGTGACCACTGTGGTCAGTGTCTTAGGCATGTAACCCTAGACCCTAAACCCTAAACCCCACCGTAGTTGACTTTCGAGTGGGGACCCTAAACCCTTAAACCCTAAACCCTCAGTTGAGTTTAAGGATTCCTTGAGCTTTGGGCTAGGGATGAAATATTTAGGAATTGGGGCTTAGGATATGATTTAGGGTTATATAGGGGTTATGTAGGGGTTATGTAGGGATCATATAGGGATAATGGAAAAGAAAATGGAAGCTACTATTTAGGATTTAGGATATGATTTAGGTGGACCCCCCCACCCAGCAAAAGTGACTATAAGGGATAACAGGGATTATATTGGGGTCCTCTTATATTCTGATTATGCCACTATTACAGGGTGGGGGGTCCTCCTAAGATATGATATTCGCAACTATGTGGGCAACTTCCATCACTTGTGCGTTGCAGCGCCGTCTGAACAGAGAGGCCATTGCTTAGGAATGATCATGGAACAGCTCTGTGACAACGATTTGATTTCTTTGTGACGCGTGCTAGCTGAAGTTATGAATTCTACGAGTTTCGGCGGAAGGCTACTCTAAACAATAGACCCTAAACCCCCAACCCGTAAACCTCATAGTTGTAGTCATAACAGTAGGGATTCTTCTACAGTTTAGGCCTTAGATTAAGGATGTTTGCATTTTTGGTGGGTGACAACAAGCCCAAATGTTGACAAGGCTTGACGAAACTTGCATACAGGAGCTTCCTTGAACTACTCTGTATAGAATCCTGAATGGGGAGCCCCCTCATCCCTATGCATCCCAACATACCGCTGGGGGTCTAAGGGCCCATTTTCAAAAAATCTGCAGCTTCGGACAGAGTAGGGTCTGACGCATGGTCCACTGAACTGTCTTGTCTCCTCATGCATCCCGACTCCATTAAACACCAGAACTTATATTGTATGAGCCGAGCGCAGAATTCTGGACAGTTTTTGTGCATGCCCACCTGTTTTGTGAGTTCTGCCTGGAGGTTCAAGGTAAGCACAGCCCAATTGTAACTGTTACTGACTTAGGCGGCTCCAGTAGAGTTATAGTTACACTTGGGTTATAGTATAGTTATACTTGCCCTGAACCTCCTCGTCGGTATGGCCCCAACTTGTGCATTTATGGGGTATACAATGAAATGGGCATGTAAGGGATCGCAGACGCGATCCATCTACCGACATGTTTCAACACTAGCTTGCTGGTGCTCAACGGAGAGTGGGGGAGTGCAGCCTCAGAAGAATCTTATGAGACTCGTTCAGGGTTTAGGGTATCTAGGGTTTAGGGTTTAGGGCTCAGGGTTTAGGGTTAGGGTTCAGGGTTTAGCGTATAGTGGTACTCAGATTCCCTCCCCCCCTCCCCTTGAGCAGTAAGCCCAAACTTCAACCTGGAATTGAAGCTCTGCCTGCTGTTTGGCAAGGCTTGCGAGCTGTCACGAGGCTGGAAGCAGGCGTGGAATTTGGTTCATGATAGTTATCAAGCTGGGCTAATATAGGGTTATATAGGGTTAATGGAAAAGCAAATGGAAACTACTATAATGTTTTATATAGAGTAATATAGGGTTATATATAGGGATAATGGATAAGAAAATGGAAGCTATTAATTATCATGGGTCATACAGGGTTTGGGTTTAGGGTTTCACAAATACTCCTCTTCATTTCGGAATAGGAGAATCGTGTTGGGTCGTGGCCCCCTGCTTTGAAAAAATAGGCCGGCACATGTTTCTATGGATTGGCTTCGCGGGTGATCTTCCAGCAGAAAGTGAAGACCACAGGCCCTGCATATTTATATGCTACTTTCTTACGATGTTACACTCTTACTACATAACTATTCCAATTCTTCCCTCGTGTCTGCTGATGCTGTGGAGGCTTTGTCATTGCTGACGGAGATGGACGAAAAGCAGGTGAAACCCAACGTGCAGCTCGGCTTCTTAGAAGCTCTTGAAAGGGGATTCTGGTTTTAGGATTGAGGGTTTAGGGCTTAGGTTTAGGGCGGAAGCTTTGCTAACACAGGGGTTTTGGTTCCCTCAGCCCCCCCAAACATGAACCCTACAAGTAACGCCCTCTTTGAGGGTTGGGGCAAGCAAAGCCCCCTTGTTATTGGGTGCCGGTGTCTGGATTCTCAAAACCCACATGGTACTCGGTATTTTCCATAGATACAGATAGAGAGACTGAATATAGACCCCGAGTTACTATGGTCCTAATTCCTCGGACCCTAAAAAAAGGATTTGTTGGGAAACTCCCCATGTTGAACGGTTTAATTTATACTTACCCAAAACCTGTACTAAAATCCCTATTACCCAAATCCCAAGTACCTAATTATTGGGTACATGGACCCTCTGGGTCTAAACCCTAAACCCTAAACCCAGCTGAGGATTTGCTTCAACTCGACCATCAGCGCGTGCGAGAAATCGGCGCGCTGGGAGTGGGCGCTCGAGGCATCCTTGAAACAAAGGGTTTAGGGTTTAGGGTTGAGGGTTTGGGATCATGGGATCGATGTTCAGAGTTTGGTGTTAGGGTTTAGTTATGTTCTCCCCACCCAGTCAGGTGTATATGGGAAGTACGTATATGATATGATATTTACAATTATGATAGGGATACCCTAACCCCTAAACCCTAAACCCTAAACGCGTGGGGCCTTCAGGGGATCAGGAAGAAGGGTTTAAGTTTGATTGAGACGGCATGCGGGCGTTTCAGGGACCATGTTTATGAGGGCTTAGGGTTTAGGGTTTAGGGTTTAGGATGTAGGGCTCATCAGGGACTAGAGTTCTAGGTCTGTTGAGGGATCATGGATGAATGTTACAGGTGTACTGAGAAGGGATCAGAGTTCTGTTGGGTTATGGCAGAGCGAGTAGAAATCACGTTTTCTGCAAACTGTTGCACCCTTTTTGGAAGCTGCCCAATTCGAACGGAAAATGGGTTAGGATTTAGGGCTTAGGGGTACGCATCCCGATGGTCACCCCTTCAGAAGAGTCCCCATCACCCCCTCCCCTGTTCCCAACTAAGCATGAGTGATACTGGGGATAAGCGTTTGGGATGTCCGGTGTATTGACAGGGAGGACCTTCGAGTTCAGGGATAAGGGATTTGTCCCTAGTTTGAAAGGGTATCGAGAGCTGAAGGTTTCGGCATAAGGGGGGGTTTCTGAAGGCGGTCTACCGGTAGGGGTATACAGGGTTCAAGATTTAACAAATATGGGTGCTTCAAACGTCCGTTTGCTTTGACTTGCAATTTCTTAGCCGAAGGGAACAGGGTTTGGGGTATAGCATACTACCAGTTTGTGAGGACTGTACTGGGGAAATATCGCTGATTGTGCAGGCTTGAACCAGCGGCTTTTGACTTCAGAAGGTCCAGCCCAAACTAAACAAGGACCCCAAGCCGCCCTTGTTTTCGAGGGGCACCAAAAAGCCACAATCAAAGTGAAAGTGAGAACTGTCGCAATTACCCTGCGATGCGGTTAATGCGAAACCCTAAACGCCTCAAACCTATAGTCCCCCTTAAGTAGATAGAATATGGGGTATATGGGGATCTTAGTATAATATACCCAAAGCCATATTCTATCTACTTAAGGGGGACTATAAACCCTACTGGTGATGGCCAGCACCTCGAAGGGCCAGCCTCTCATTGCGGTTGTGCTGGCTAGATGAGTAGTTTCAGAATACCATGTGGGGGGCGGCTTCAACAGTCAATGTTCCTCTTTTGGCTAAGGATTGTAATACTTGGATGTCTATAAGGGCTCGTAATTCTGGCAACCTCCAGATTTGGTAGCTTGAAAAAATGCCATCTTCATTCAGTTGCGGAGTTATCTCAGCTCGTGCGTGAGCTGCGATGATCTGCGTGAGCGTGACGTGGTTCAGCGAGCTGAAATCAGTTGCCATGACACCTGTCTGAAGGTGCTGGCAGACAGAATGGATGCCGCAGAGGCAGTCATTGAAATGCTTCGTCTCATAATCTCGACCCAGGGCGAGATGCTGGCGCGGGTTCTGGACCTGCACCTTTTGACTTTGACGACCTTCCTGAGGGGGAGGCACCAAGCAGTCCAATCAGTCCTGAGCATGAAGGGTCGGGGCATCTGTAAAGGAGCCTTCCACTGCAGTCCATGCTTCTCTGCCAGTGTGGTCCCACTTCCCCTAGGGGTCTAGCTCCTTGTCCCCTAGGGGTTTAGTCGTGTTGTTGGTGGTTTCTGCTTCAGTTTCCCTTTAGGAATATGGCAGTTTCCCAAAATAAGGGACCCCAATCTAGACCCCAAAATAATGTATTCCTTATTATTGGTAACTTAATGAGAAAGTGGCATGGGCAATTTCCCATGACGCCCTGCAAGTAGGAGGATGCCAGTGCGGCAGGCATAGGATCTCTATTCCAGGTATGTTGTTTCTTAGGGGTTTGGAGTTTAGGGTTTAGGTGTACGTGTTGTGCTGCACAGTCCTTCTACCACAAAACACTTTTGTACGCTTTGGCCCCAGGAGCGTGACCAGTTAGTGTAGCTACTGGTCAAGGGGTGAGTGCAGAATGCATGGACAGAACCTTCATCTGCTAATTAATAAGAGAATTTTAGTATCCTCAACCCCCAACATTGGGCCTTCATTATCATATGCTAGCTATAGGGCTTTGATCATAGGAGTTGGGGGTAACCCAAGTACAGGTATCATACCCTAAACCTTACACTCGAATTAAACCCCAAGCCTAAACCCTCAACCCAAGCCCAGAGCCTCAACCCTCTACAAACACCACTCCACCCTCAGCCCTCAACCCTACGTCCCTTGACCTGAGGCCTCTGCGCGCTTATTTACATTATGAAAGCCCAATAAGGAATATCAAGTTAGTATTGACCACAGTTCCATTCAAGCACCCTAGCCCCAGTTTAGGCCTTAAGGTTTCCGGAGTTCTATGCCTTACTATGACTACTATAGGTAACACCCTTGTTTCCTCATGTAGCTGCCTTACCCCCCAAACCCCATACCCTCAACCCTAAACCTTAAATCCAACCGTGGGCCCAATATCCTAAATCCCTGAAACCGTGCTTCACGAGAACATCCGAGGTTTTTTGGCAAATGCAGCTCAGACGCCTGACACCTGACGTAGCCCGCCCAGAATCACGGTTCCCAATATGGTCTGGGGATCTAGGGGCATGGGTGGCTTGGGTTTGGGCTGTAGGACGTAGGGTTTGGGGTTGGGGTGGTGGTTTCCTTTTTGGGTCCCTACTACGCGAGCGTTCCATAATTTCGAGTGAACAGGGCACTTCTTGATTCTGGCAGATAGCGTACCCGGCAAAAATCAGAGAATTGTGTTATGCTGCCTTAAAAACCCCAAACCCTAAACCCCAATTTGCTTCATCCTAAGCCTAGACCCTAACATGATTATGTCCCAAATCTCCGCTGGTGTTTATGCTTCAGGGTCCACAGAGGCAACGAGGCCACACAGCTCTTCATATCTTTGTTCGTGCTAGTTACATTAGCAGCGGCAGAGTAACAGTAGTAAGAGGGGTTGCTGCGGCATGTTGTTCTGTAGCATCAAACGTACTCTTGTAGTTCTAGATTCTAGGGCGTTCGCCGGTCGTACAGATCATACCGCATTGCAAGGATGATGAAGACTTAACAGGCTACAACTCCGAAGATGTTTCCTTCAACACAAGCGGTGGGCATTAGTAGGATTTCGTATATACCTCTCAAAGAAATGGCGTCCTGAACATTGCGACCACCCACTGAGAGATCAACATGTTCACAAATACTCCGCACCCCAAACCCTAAACCCTAAACCCACCCTGAGCCCCAAACCCTAATAAAAGGCTATCTGGCTCCCAGCCCGAAGCCCATGCTGGTGCTGCAATCCAAGAGTCAGCCCTAAACCCTTCCAACCCTAGGGATCCAGGTATACAAATAAAAACCCTTCAAGGAGTTTAATTAGGGTTTAGGGTTTAGGGTTAGGGTTTAGGCAAATAATAATTACATTGGGCCCTAAAGCCTGTAGATATTACCTACGTTGGGTTATGTTTGGGTCCCTAGGGCAAAGCCGCATGGCGGTTAGAATTTCCGGCGTTAGGGTGCGGGATTGAGGGTGACATGGGTGGAGGTCCTTTGGGTTTTAGGCTTTGGGGTCTAGGGTTTAGGGCTTAGGGTTTAGTATCTAGGGTCTCGGGTTTAAGGGCTTGGGGTTTAGGGTTTAGGGCTGGGGGGGGCCATGTGCGGATGAGCTGCCCTTCCGTTAGTTGAGCAGATGTTTCCATTGCAGGAGAAGATCTCAATTGTAGTAGGAAGCTTTGCATCTTTCCAAGCGTTCCAGAAGAGGTAGAGAAGTGGGAATTCAGTTTGCAAGATAGAGTCCCAAGACATGAGCCTCAAAAAAGGGGTTTAGGGTTGTTGGATACCCCCACACCCTACACCCCAAGCTTCTTATCCTGTCATTCCGTAAAAAAAACCGCAACAAGACGGAATATGCACTAGGGCCTTAGCGAACAGTGGAACCCAGAAGAGCGAACTTTTGTTTGGTGGATTTTGTGGAGGAAAGCTCCCAACCCTACCCCCTCCCACAACCTAACATGGAACCCCCATGTTCACCTGGAGGGAGGCCCTAAACCCTGAACCCCAAACCCCTTCAGACCTTTGACGTCTGCCTTGACATAAAACCTAAGCCCGAAACACTAAATACTATAAAGCCTAAACCTTACCTGGAACCTTAAACCCTATATAGCCTAAACCCTAAACCCTTCTCCTTGGTGAGGGTACTCCGCTCAGGTAATCACTTACAGTGCTGCCTCCAGCGCTTGCGAGAAATGTGCGGAGTGGCAGTGGTCCCTGTACTTGCTGGACGATATGTGCTCTGGAGCATTGAGTCAGGGCTTACAATACTATCCCTCCTATTCAGTACTATGAACCCCTATTTAGCTTTTCAGCTCCTTAAGCCCTGGGGAGGGTACCTTTTGGCGGGATGTTATTATATTCCTTTTGAGCTTGCTGTATTAGAGGATTATGCCGCTCACGTCATTGCGATGATCATTCTCTGTTTGTTGTGTTGTTGGTAAGTTTTCTTTCCTTGGGACAAGAACGTGTAATTTGCTTTCATGGCTAATTACATGTTTTTGCAGGGTCTGTCATGGGGTGCATTCCACATGGTTATTTCTTTGCTTGGATTTTCTGACGCGTATTCCTAGAATTGCCATTCTGCGCAGGAGTCTTCTCTATTCTTCATGTTGGTCTCGTTTTTGCTATCCAACGACTGAATGCATGATTGCTTCAGCTCCTCGTTCCTGAATTTTTTGCTGCTCAAAGAGTAATACTGGTTAAGCACCTAGGAAATTTACATTCTCATTAATTACTACTAGTCTCGGCATTCTCGGCTGCTACAGCTTGTGTAATAGCGCCTCGTACTGCTCAGATGCTGCTAGTACGGCTTCCTCCTACTACGACTACTACGACTACTACGGCGACGACGATGACGACGGCAGGCTGCACTGACAATGTGCGGCAGGGATTTCTTGACCTCTAGTCGGACAGCTGCCCAAATGAGATCCACAATGTTGAGAAAACCTTATAGCAGCACAACACTAACCATTGTGGACCCTAAGCTCTAAAACCTAAAGCATACCAAAATGTTCCAAAATATTAGGTACATAACCCGTTGTATTAGGTAATCCTAGCACATGACTAATTTGGGGGTCCCCCCACCCCCCCCCTCATCCGGAATAAGTCGAGGGGCGCCGCCAGATTAAAGGAAAATCCTTCTTCGGTCATTGCAGCTCCTGGACCTCTAATGAAAGATTGAATCGGAATGTTTTGAATCTCTATTCGCAAACCCATAAGAAAACCTTTCCTGGATCATTGGGGCTCTTGGACCTCTATTAATTAAAGAATGAATGGGAATTCATTTTCAGGACGGGTTCCCCAAAATATTCTTTAAATGTAGTCCCTTTTCCCCATACGGAAAGCCAAGTAATTGTAAGTAGTCTTTGGAGCCTAATTCTATCCAAAAAATCTTTAAATCTGGACTCCTTTATAAATCAAGTGCTCGGATTATATATCGAGTAATTACTTATTACTTTCCCTTCAAGTATGTTCTCAGCTGGATTGGATCACCCGCTAGTGATTTTTTTGCGGGAAGGATGCATCCAGAAGTCTCCTCAGCCCTAAGCATAGCCCTACGTTCCAAGCCCTAAGCCCCGAGCCAAAACCCTGTTTCCACTTCATTGTCCACTTTTATATCCATCTGATTCTCCGTTATCGGGGGCGATTTCCCTAAACCCTAATCCCTACACCCTACATCCTCAAATTTTGGTACTTACCTGGGTACTATCCCTATAGTAACCCCTTCGGCTCCCAAAACCCTAAACCTTAAACCCAAAACCCCAGGCCCTGAACCCTCAACTCGAGGCCCTGAACCCTAAACCCCAAACCCTAAACCCTAAACCTAAACCCTAAGCCCCTCATAACCCTAATAACCCTGATAACCCTGAACCCTAAAACCCTAAAACCCTAAACCCTAAAACCCCAAAACCCTAAACCCTAAACCCTAGACCCTGAGGCTCCTCAGACATATCGAGCCGGACAGCTACACTTTTGCCTCCGCGATATCCGTCATCAACTCACCTGGCTTCGGGTTGTGATTTAGGGTTTGGGGTTTAGGGTTTAGGACGGTTTGAGATTGAGGGATTTAGGGTTCAGGGTTCAGGATTTAGGATTAAGGATTTGGCTGTTAGGGATTCAACTTGCCCAGGGTGTAGGTTCTTGTTTAAGGTTTGGGGCTTACTGGGTGATTGTTGCCTATGCTTTCCTTCTGTTATTCTGCTGAAGCACAACAAGGCATATTCATCATAGCCCAGCAATATCCATGTAAGGAACCTAGGGTTCAGGGTCAGCTTACCAGCGTTTGAGGTTGCTGACTGCTCACGGAAGAAAATTTGCACCACCTTGAGTACTTAAAGTGCGTTCCTAGGTGGTTCACTGACGCAAGATTTCCTCCATCCACAGCCACGCCTAGGGTTTTTGGGTTTAGGGTTTAGATGTTGTGGGGGTGTGGTATACGGTAGCTATATCACGAAAGATATGACTTAGTCGTGGCAAATTCCTTGCTGTAACGAAGGTGTTTCTGGCAGATTCAATGCAAATTGGGCGACTAGGTGGAGCTCTAACCCATATATAACCCTAAACCCTATACCCAATTATACTACTTTTATAGTAGCTTCCATTTTATTTTCCATTATCCCAATATAACCCCTTTTTTTAATATAGTAGTTTCCATTTTATTACACCTCAACCAAAAAAAGCTGGTTCATCATCCCTAAGCGCCGTATACCCCAATATTTGGGGATACTATGGTACCCAATAATATAGGGTTTAGGGTTTAGGGTTTATTTGGGGATACTATGGTACCCAATAATATAGGGTTTAGGGCCCTATAATGGAGAATCAAATGGAAAAGAAAATGGGAAATGAAATGGAAACTGGGATTATATAGGGGTTGATTGTGTAGAATTTTATTTGGGGATACTATGGTAGCCATTATAGAGTAAGATTATATCCTCCTTTTGGGTATAGTATTTTACATAAGGAATACAATCTTACTAGGTTCAGCCACAACAAAAACACTACTCAAAAGGGCTGCGCATCAGGTTGGTGACTTCTTCCAGGTTAGCCAGATACATAGCATGCAGGCAAGGTCTGCAACTCCTTGCATGTGCTTCCTGTTCGCAGCCGTATTGGCAAGCAGGCTTTCCAGATGGAATCAGGGATGGTTTAGAGTTTGCGGCCCTTTGGCGCGAAAAGATTTACAAAGTAATTGTACAAAACAGCAGCGCTAGCAATTCTGTTTTGCACTGTTTCAGTCCTAGATGGGCATCGACGTAAGTTATGACAACACACAACTGAATTGTCAAAACAGCGCCAACAACAGCAACACGATCAATATGAACAACGAGTCGTCAGCAAATACAGTAACAGAAAGGAGGGGTTGGCTAACACTGGTCCAGAATGGGCAAGCGAGCGCTGTGCATCGGGATAAACTATCCCAACCAGGCTGCGTGTTTCCTGCCCACGGTTTAAGGTCTTGGGCTTAAGAATTCGGGATCCTTTTTCAGGGCTTGAATAGGGATCAAGAGGCCACACAAGCCCCAAGTGGAGAGGCTTCCAGTTTTCAGGGGCGTAAGGGTTTGCAGGTGAGGTTGAAGGTTTGAGGTGTCCTATACCCCGACCCCCTAAAGGATCCAAAAAATAGAACGCCCCAATATGAACCCATTACTGCAGTGGGGAAACTAGGGGATTATGAGGGGTTTAGATTTTTTGGATCCTTTAGGGTGTCTGGGTAATTAGGATATTTGAGGAGTGGGCAACTTCAAACTGCTTGTCTTCTTACGGGCCCCAATGGTCAACTCTTTGCAGCTTCTCTTCTGTTCTGTTCTCGCATCATTGCGTCTAGGGCAATTTCAGGGTGGGTCGGTCATCAAGAGCCCCAGAAATGGGGTAATTTCCATTTCAGTGCCCATTAACAACAATAACTAGTGGGTGACAAACTTGATTTATTTTTCATGTGTTCGAGCTGGGGGGGATGATTGTGACCTGTTAACGCCTAACCCAGACCACTTAAAGAAAGTTCCTGTGAGTGCAGGAGTACCAGCTCTTCGGCTGTGCCACCCGGCATAAACCCCAGACCCTAAATCCTAAACCCTAATTCCCTAAACCCCTAAACCCTGTAGGAATGGAGATCGCAAGACATGTAAAAACAAATGGAATCACCCGTGGAACCGCTCGGTCTCTTTGAAGGGGGTTTAGGGTTTAGGGTTTAGGGCTTAGGGTTTAGGGTTTAGGGTTTAGGGAGAATACTGGAGGTTCAAATGAAAATGCAGATCAGAAATAACATGGAAACTGTGTGTTTGTTGTGATAGTAAAGGGCTGTGCAGGGTTTATGATCCAGGATTAGCTAGCCGATTTCTTGTCGTGCATGATTGAAGGGTTCTGATTTTATTGGTGCTACTATAGGGATCTTTGTCTCCATTCACAACCCTAAACCTTACATGGTAGTAAAGGCTGATCTCCTCCACCTAGTCTACCTCTAAACCCTAAACTCCAAACCTTAAACCTTGAACCTTAAACCCTGAGCCCTAAACCCTAAACCCTAAACCCTCAACCTTAAACCCTGAACCCTAAACCCTAAGCCCTAAACGGTTCAGGGCTCAGAGTTGACAAAATCCCTAGGCCCTTGTCCCAGATTATGCATTCATGGGCTGAGTGGCTAGGGTTTAGGGTTTAGGGTTGGCAATCCAGCATGAAGCTTCCCTTAGCAGTGAGCTTTTCTTGCATGAGCGACTCTCGGTGTTAGAATTGCTAAGAGACCATGGAGGTTGATTTTTGGCTCAGGGCTTGAGTTAAGGTTAAGGGGTTGGGGTTTAAGGTTAAGAGTTTTGAGTGTTTAGAGTGAACAAGGGGCCATTTGGGTTGGACATTGGGGTCCCATGGGTAGCTTAGTATGGTTCCTATCACACTCCCTAAGAGGAACCCATGTCAGGGATTTGCAGAGAATTGGGGTCCCCTTTTTTATGGGGGGGGTCCCTAGAATAAGGATTGTTGTATTTGGGGGGTTTGAAGGGGATCCCCCCCACGTAACCCTAAACCCTAAACCCCTTGTATTTGGAGGGTTTGAAGGAGATCCCCCCCCCACGTGTGAAAACTCCGAAGCACGCCCATGGGGAAGACTTTGCCAGAATAGGTTGCCACATTGCAGAGGTTGAACGGCTACAGGACGGGTCCCAGGAATATTTAGGGTTCATGGTTTAGGGTATTACTTATTGCTACCACTATGGTTACTATACATATTACACATATTATTCCATTGTGTAAGATTATTTCTGAACGTTGGGGGGTAGTATCGAGAGGGGTAGTAGGAGGACCCACGTGATGCTCACCGTAAATTGCAGTGGCAGGTTGCCCCCCCCACAGTTCAATTTTCAGCATTTGCTTCACACACGGTTCAGGGTTTAGGGCCCAAAACCCTAAACACTGCAATGAGGATCTACAGGGAACAACGTTCTAAAGTATCAGGCATTCTTATCTGGAGGACGGTTCCTCTTGGTCTGCACCCGCCTGTTGAAGCCAGATGCTTTGCCAAGAAACTGATGATTTGGATTCCTGTTTCGCTGGCTCCATATGGTAGTTTCGCAAAATCAGGGAGCCCCAATATAGAGCCCAATATACTATATTCCTTATTATGGGGATCCCCGAAGTGTACCCCTAATTTTAGGAAACACCCATATCGCCTGAGTGATAGGTGCTTGAGTGCTTGGTACTTTCATGTTTGGGGGAGGGGTTTAGGGCTTAGGTTTAGGGATGCCTGGGAGAGTTCCGGAGACTTGGAAACCGATTTTTTTTCCGGGGCAAGTATTGTGGGCGGGGTGATTATCGGAGATTTCTCAGAAATGTGGGTCAATTATTTCTTGAGGTTTGTGAGGAAACAGATTGCCTGTAGTAGCCATACTTCTATCCTCAAGCATTGGAGCCTGCCAGGCTCCACGCCAAAAACCTGAAACCCTGAACCTAGAATCATTATCAATGTCCCTTAGTCCTTACCATCCCGAAACCCTAAAACCTTACTAGATCTTAATTCCTAAGCCCTAGCTTCTAAATCCTAAACCCTAAGCACATGAGCAGCTGAGGTCAATGATTGCCTTGACTGGGAGAGGCTGTTGAAAGAAACTTACGAGTGCCTTCCCAAGAAGGGATACATGGTGGTTCCAAAAATGAGGGGTCCTTTAGGGTCCCAGTAATGCGGATTATATCATGTTGGGGTCTATATCGGGGGGGCCACCTGTCCATGGAAACTACCAACTAGCGACATGTAGAATAAGGGGCCGCCCTACAAAGGGATATATAGGGTCACCAAGTGATGTATAGACACATGTAGGGATTAGGGTTTGTGGATTTGGGACTCAGGGTTGAGGTTGAGGATGTTCGTTGGGTTCAGGGGTTATGGGTTTCAGTGCTCAAAGGCTCGGGATTGTGGGTTTAGGGTCTCTCGGGCTAACAGGGCTCCTAGTATTGGGTTTGGACAATAGGTTTGGGGGGTACGACTTGAGGATTTGGATGTTCTGGTAGGGCGCGCGCCTTGCAGGGGACTTAAGGGCCAGGGTTTGGGGCTGAGGGTATAGGGTTGAGGGTTTAGGGTATAAAGGTTCCTTCCGTACCCATTTGCCCGTTGAAGTGAGCTCCTTACTTGGTTCTTAAGAAGCGGCGGGTTTAGGGTTTAGGGTTTAGGGTGGGAGGGGGATGGCGGAGGATAGGCACAGATGTAGCGGATCAGAGAGAGAGATCAGTACAGGGATCCAGTTCTCAACCCTCCCTTAAGCACCAGTAAAGGTTAATTGCTAGCTTGTCCTGAGATGCTGTTAGGGAACTACTTGAATTGCAAAATCATGAGCGATTCGCATATAATAAACCCTTAAACCGTTAAACCCTAAACCTAAACCCATAAACCCTTAAGCCCATAAACCCTAAACCCCTAAACCCTTAAATAACCTAGCCTATAAACCCTAAACCGCATAAGCACATAAACCCTAAACCCTTGAACCCCCTAAACTCCATAAACCCC